GTTGGAGTCCTTAGCTGCAGCCTCGAAGCGAGCATAGAAAGTGTTCAGCTCGTCTGCCAGAGTCACGGCCGCGTTCGTCATACCGGTTGTTGATGCTTTATTTCATCCCCCGCACCTGCTTTTTTATTTACATTAGTACATGGGGATCTGCCTGGCCTGGGAGCCACTGCCAGTCCCCTTGGAGACCCACCCCAAATTGCAGCATCTGTTCACGTTTCTTTATCCACCACCATCAATCGTAACTGAGAATGTAGGCCCAGCTAGTGAAATATGTCTTTAGCACATTCTCACGTGAGCATTTATTTTAACAAAATCCCCTTTTATTTCAGCTACATAGGAATACTTTCCTTCACTTTAAAATTCTGTTTTTGTCACAGTTTACTCAATATGTTAGAAAGTGGGCAACAAAATGGCTTCAGTGCAAGAAAGAAACTAGTTCTAATAGTGACCAGTAGAAAAACGCCACAATCGCACTTAAAAAAGGGTACACAAGATTTATTGTTATTTCATTGCAGAGTAGTGGGCTGGGCACTCCTTGCTGCAGTACACAGCATGTGCTGAGTTTCTATTTGCGTTTGTTAGTTTTGTCTGGGTCTGAAGTGAACTGGGATGTCGTGCTTGGAGAAAATTCTGTCAATAAACCTGCTGGATAAGAGATGACAATGTTGTTCTGTATACTTTATTAAGTCCCATAGGTAAATTGCCCTCTGCATTTAACCCAATGAAACAGTGGGCAGCCACCAAACCAGCACCCCAGGAGTAGTGTGTACTCAAATAGCAAGACGACATTGAATTGATGTTGATTTTTCATCCGAGGTATCCAAGGTTCATCCAAGTACCACAAGTGCTCACGAGTACCGCAGGGTAGCCGTTCACTGGATTCAAACCTCCAATCTTCTGATCAGACGTTGCCGACCCCTGTTCTACAGTATTCTAATTTCAGCTGATAGGTACTGGTCTGTGTGTGGGGGATTCTGGTAAACTTCAGTGTTGAGACTTCCAGCCTCCTCAATGAGCACAGCACATTTCACCACAGGCAGACGGACAGGCCATGGAGTGAAGCGGACAGCATACGCGCTCACTCTGCTCAATCCAACAACGTGCTTTAATGAACCAGGTTTATTAAGGCACAATGGCAACAGAACACAGTAGAACAACTTAGAATTTTTTTGATGAATGGGTGTAGTCCCTAAAGGTTATGATTACATCTTGTATCTAGAACAAAAACAGACAGTAGTGAGGTTTAACCTGTGTTTCAGTCTGAACGGTAAAGTGTATATAAAGATGGCTTGCCAGCTCCCCAGAAATGAAAGAGTCTCGAAAACGGCTACTGCCACTTGCACTGGCTTATTCCTACTATACTGGCTTAGGTTTTCCACTAACTGAGAAAATTGCTTTAGGTGGGGTTTGATGGAACAGAGTACACATAAGGAACAATTAAAAAAAAAAAAAAAAACTATAGACCTAGATATGTGAAGTTACTTTTCTCTTTTTCTGCAGAGGTTTGTGTTTAGTTCGTTTTTGTTCAGAATCTAAAAACATATGCAATTTTTCCTGTGGCTTCATATAATGCGTGTACCAAGAATAGTGCACACATCAGAATTTAAGTCATGTTAATGTCTTCTCACACATCCACTAAAGCTGGGGTATTGAATTAAATTTTCAGGTCTACTTCAACAAAACTTCCCCAAACAAAGGTTCGAAATACTATAAAGTTATACATCCACTGTATCAGCAGTATCAGTGTCTTTATATAGTCAACAATAGGCTGGAAAATAAAATGACCAAAGCACAATTCGACAGTATTTTTGCAATGTTTATTAATAATCATCATCACACTGAGCTGATCGCACTCTAATAATAAAATGTTCATTTTTCATTTCAAGTAAAATGAGGTTTGCATTAAAAATACAAGCTTTTAAAAAAAAGTCCTGAAATAAAGTGCTTAATCTGAGCAATTTCAGTGTACATGCAGCTTTACGCAGCTCTTTGACACTAAAACGAGCTGCTGGTAGTCAGTTAAGTTCCAGTTTAGTCCACCATCTGTCTAACAACATGGAAAGACTAAAGAAAGTTGCTGATGATGAAAACATGCTGCGTTTCAGAGTACACCAGTTTGCTTTTTGGCCCCTGCTTGAAAATTAATGGCAGATTTTTTTTTAGAATATAAAAATATCATTTTCATGTGATGTGATCTTTCATGATCTTACAGGATGGTGAACACAATGCATGTGGTTGTGTCACAAATAACAGACATAAAAGTGGCACAACTCTATTACCTACAGTAAGTATGCTTTATTTTACAATCAGAGACAAGACACTGCTGATAGGTTTTGCAAGTTGTCACTGAGGTGGAGGAGGTGGAGGAGGAGGAGGGGGAGGGCGGGGAAAGTCAGAAAAGGGGGCAGAGTTTGGCAGCCAGAAAGGAGTGGAGAAAGCAGGATTGAAGAAAGTTGGAGGAGTTGGAGGAGGAGGAGGAGGAGGAGGAGGGTAGAGAGGGAAGTTAGAGGGAGGAAAATGGTGAGGAGGTGGAGGATAAGGACAGGGAGTAGGGATGAACATAGGGGGGAAATTTGTGTGTCGTGGTGGCTCTGTCTGTCTAAATGAGTGCTGGTGGTGGAAAGAAGGCCTTGTATGTCTTGGTGGGAAGCCCCTTCCATCATGCTTATGTTGCCGCTGCGAAGGGTTCTGAGTACGATTGTCTAGAAAAGAGGGGGAAAACAAGAAATGGTATTTAAAGATGGATGGTATCACCCTCTATTTGTAACACTTTAATCTTCAAAACCTGAAAACCTGCATATAAACTTGTGCTTCTACAGCAGGGGTCAGCAACCTTTAAGACCCAAAGAGCCATTTGGAACAGGTTTCCACGCAAAAGAAAACACTGGGAGCCACAAATACTTTTTGACATCTAAAATTAAGATAACACTGTATATATTGCTTTTTACTTTTATGCTTTATGTGAACAACTAAGGTGTGTTGCTTATGAAATCCATGAACTGCTACAGAGAAAATTACATTTTATTTATGTAATTAATACATTTTGAACTCTTAAAGAAATATAACAAAAGGAAAGACGCTGAACTAAAATGATCCAAGTAGCAAACAAAAACTGTTATATCGCCTTTGGGCTTTTGGAGCCTTGACCTGACTTTTAAAAATATAATAAAAAAAAATAGCACTATGCTGCAAAAAAAATGTATTCTGCCTAAATATGTATTTTACCTGGTTAATGTGTGTGGCGGGGCGTGGTCTGCAGCACCGCTGCAGGGGAGGCGGACGCACCTGAGCGGCACCCGCAATCACGCCTCGCCACCTTAACGTCTGTGCCATCTATGCTGTTGTTGGTATGTGTCGGGCTGTGAGCTGAAAAGCTACAGCCGGCTGTGTGCGTACAGCAACAGTGTGTGAAAAGTGATCAATAAAGAGATGCTGAAAAGCGTGTTCATGCAAACATCGCCGGGTCTGCTGTGATATGTTTACAATGGGGCTGTACTTTCATCTTTAGGCGTGAGCAGTGTTTGTTTTTAACATAGTTCACGGTGGAGAACAGCTGCTGACAATGTGGATCCGAAGATCTTGAAAGTCTCGATAAATGCACGGCGTTTTGGCGGGTACACCGGCTTCCGCGAGTGTGACGTTTATTTTGAGCGATGAAAAAATAATAAAATATAATTTTATTTTTATATTACAATGTCACAACGATCTTCCAATTTAGAGCTACAAGTTAAAAAAAATAACTAACATAAATAAAATACACTTCAGCTAAATACTTATAATTTATTTTCTCAAACCACGCGGAGCCGCACTATAAGGACTAAAGAGATGCATGCGGCTCCGGAGCCGCAGGTTGCCGACCCCTGTTCTACAGTATTCTAATTTCAGCGGATGTCATTATCCATGCTATACATCACATAGAAGAACTGGAGATGTGTTTTTATGGGAGTACCTGTGTGGCTAGTGTCCTTCTTTTTGGCATTTTTCAGTTTCCTCTTTGCTTCCTGCTCTTTCTCATCATCACTATAGTCTAGAGCCTAATAGGCGGAGAGAGAGGAAAAATATATTAATTATAAAAATCTGAGACAGAAGTCATAAAGAAGGAATTCTGAAAGAGGAGTCCTATCGGGATTGGTAAGCCTGTGGGACTTCGGAGGCAGCCGACGGGTATGGACAGACCAAGCGGAAAGCAGCTCGGGCAGTGGCTGAACCAAAAACTCGAGTGTGGGAGCAACTCGGGAGGGGAAAAGTGCTCTACATGCACAGTGTATAGTGTGGGCGACTGAGGATATTGTCAGCCGGTGGAGGGAATACTTCCTTAATCCCATTGACACGTCTTCCATAGAGGAAGCAACTCTGGGGATGAGGGGGACAACACCGGGGCAGTTAAACAACTCCTTGGTGGCAGGGCCCCTGGGGTGGATGAAGTTTCTGAAGGCTCTTGATGTTGTGGGGCTGTCTTTGTTGACAAACCTCTACAATGCTGCGAGAAGATAAGGGGCAGTATTTCTGGACTGGCAGACCGGGGTAGTGGTTCCCATCTTTAAGAACGGGGGCTGTAGGGTGAGCTCCAACTATAGAGGGATCACACTCCTCAACAAAACTGTGGTATGCAATGATGGAGTATAACAACCAAAGCCAAGAATAAAGTGATAAAACAAATTTAAAAAGAAGTCCACAAAGAGTTGAGCAGCAAGTAGCACTAGTATCCACTCAGCAAACCCAAAACATCTGTGTGAATATGACTCAATGAACAATGGACGTTGTTGGATACATACCTCTTCTGGCGGTTCTTGGTCATTTTTCCAGGATGCATCTGATCCCTGTAATCTGCACACAAATATTTTCATTTGAACATAACAAACAAACACACAGACATGAGCTTAGCCTAACAGATTCCATTCACTGAATCAAAAGTAGCTTACACACAGTCAACAAAGAAAACTAAATATCTATATGCCCCTGTACACCACTGAAATGGATTGGAAGCAAAGGAATCCAAATGTGACTGTATTGCAGAGTTGGACCTTCGTGATGGTGCCGGAGACAGCCAGCTCTGTGTTTCAGTGCACTCTGATAAACTGCCATACAACCAGAACTTCTCAGACCAGAGATGAGCTCATGAACATCAGAGCTACATCTCCTGATGACTTATTTATATCATTCATCACCTCATCTGCTGATATTGTGACCATTTTGGTTCACAAAGTGAGACACTGTAGGTGAGCAACAGCCTCTCTTGTCAAACACAGAGGGCAAGAACCATATTGCAGGTGCTGACTCTCATACCAGCCGTTTCATACTCTCCAGTGCATATTAGAAGACATGATTATGAACCACATCAGTAGTGTACTGAGACCAATACTTATGGTGCTAATGGTGTACTTACAGTCTTAGCTGCTGTGTGAGGATGTATCCCGTGTACTCCTTGATGGCTGGTGCATAATAAAGGGTAGTACCCTCTTTCAGCCCTTTACTGATAATCTGATCCACAGAATTAAAACGTAAAACATACATTGGGCTGGACACCGGGCCAAATACCTCAAACACCTGAAACAAAGAAACAGTGCAACACTGTCATATCATTGGGTGTAAAGGCCTTTACAAAACTGAAACATTAAGTACATTTCAGATTATACAAAGAGGTCTTTTTCAGGAAACACAACATCAGTTAACAATTTTGTTGTTCTGCAGCAATGGAGGTTGATCAAGCTTCTACAGCTATTCCTATTTTTCTGGATTACTTCCAACCCCTTCTGTCTGCATAAAAGCAGTGCTGGAACACACTGTGGTACCATACCCTCCTGAGCATCAGTTGAACTGTATTGTACTGCAGAAAGTAGTGTGTTGTTACACAAATTGTGAGAAAAAGACAATTAACAATGGAAGAGAGACACACCATCATGTCACTTATCAATGTTGGTTTGTCCTACAGAGAAACTGTCGTAGTAAGCAAGTCTCAGTTTCAACTGTGAAGACAAGACTTCAAGCTGCAGGGAGGATGAGTTGAAGCAAGAAAGCCATTGCGAAGGCATCAGAATAAGACAAAGAGGCTTGTCTGGGCCATGGCACACCACCACTGGACTACTGAAGACTGGAGGAAGGTATTATGGACTGATGAATCAAAATTTGAAATCTTCGGTTCATCATGCAGGATCTTTGTACGCCGTCGAGTCGGTGAAAGGATGGTTCCACAGTGTGTGGCATCGACTGTCAGACATGCAGGAAGAAGTGTGATGGTCTGGGGTTGTTTTGCTGGATCCAGGTTCGGTGACCAGATTGAGGTACCCGGAACCAAAACAGCTACCACAGCATTCTGCAGCATCATGCAGTACCCTCTGGTATGCGTCTAGTTGGTCAGGGGTTCATCCTACAGCAAGATAATCACCCAAAACATAAGTCCAAGCTAGGGCTGTGCGATATGACCAAAATCTCATATCCCAATATAAGACATCTATCGTCCCGATAACGATATAAATCACAAAAATTTAAAATTTTCTGTAAATTCTGTGAATCTCGGGCAGCTCGACTTGCGTGAAGTGTTTCCAGCTGGGCGTCCTGTAGCTGGAGTCGAGTGTTTTAACGATGCATGAAACGATACATTTTTAGTCATAACGGCGCCGTTTTCTTTGTGAGTATTTATTGAAGCTGTATCACGGCCTCTTTTGTACCTATTTCAGGATGTCAGTGAGGCAGTTTGAGCTCGTTAGCAGAGACGGGGACCATACCCGAGGAGGCCGAGAGCCGATTATGAGCTGTTCTGCGACACAACAATCAAATGTTCCGTCATACTGAACACTTTGATTGCATTGTGAGTGGTCATATATGTTTATATGCACCTGAAGCGCCGTAAAAATTAAACCTGATGTAAAAATAAATGCTGCAAATTTTTCATGTGTAATTATGTGTTTGGTGTGAACGGCTGCATTAAGAATAGTTGAGTCTGAAAAATATTTTTAAATGCACAAAACGTTTGCACGCATTTTACTCGTCCAGTGTGTAAAGGCCTTAAAACCACACAGGCAACTTATTGCATTCTACAAAAGAGAAGCTTTTGTTGGCATTCTTACCTTGGCCGCAGCCTCCCGATCAGACTTGAAGATAATGCTGCCATCATTAAGAGGGGGCGTGTCTTTCAGGGACTGGATAATAACTGCAGTGACAGAAGCAGTGGTAAAAGACAAAGTTGAAACACAAGCCAAAACTGTTCCTGCTCTTCCTCTGGTAGACACTAATGTAGCCTTAAAACAATCTGTGCCTATATTTACCAAGCTGCTGTATAATATTCGACACGGTGCCCAGTGGCTGCAATTCTGCTTCTTCTGGTAAGGTAATACATACTTCCTCCACTGCCGGAAGTTCCTGCACACAAACAACATGACATTTAGACATAAGGCTGGAGGGCGTTCAGAATTCAGGACACCCCCCCCCCAAAAAACAAAACACATGGTGGCAAAGTGTGGACAATAAGACGCTAATAGTGGTTCTTGTTGGTTGGAATGTAATAACTAACAATGCTCAATGTGGCATTAATGCTGTTGGTATTTTTACTTCACATCACATGACATCATTACAGGAACAATCACATATAAAATCTAGACATTTTATTACTTCCCATGAGTAATTTTTATTCATTTAATTCTTATTAAGCATTTCTGCCAAAATGTTGGTATCAGACTTAGTAACGAGTCACTCATTATCCTGTTGCTCCCTCTGAGATTTTCAATAACACAGGCCATCTCTGCTTGGGAGGTTAATGTAGCTCTAGTTCCCCATGATAAGTATACTGTGTGAGGCAAATGATGAAAGATTTACCTCTTATTGTAATTACTGATCATAAATGCAGGGATTTTATCCAAACAAGTAAAATCTTTTTAAGTGTTTTGTCAGTCTAGAACCCATGAGCATGACCCAATGCTGTGTTTTGCCCCTTGACTGCCTCGACTTGACCTATGTTCAGTTTCTGTCGTTTGAGGGTCTCTCTGGATTCAGTTTTGCATTTAATAACTGAAAAACATGCTCTGTCCTGCCACTGAAAAACAGACCTGAGCTGCTGTTGCGATGTGTTTTGGGTCATTATCCATTTGCACTGTGAAGTACAAACGAATGTACCCTCTTAGCTGTCTTTAATTCTTACTTTGTTGAGGTACATTTTAAAACTTAAAGGTTAAGTCTTTTGATTTATCTATATTTAAATAACCTCCAGAAACAAATGTTATTTTCAACCATATCATTAAAAAAACAAAAACAAAAAAAAAACATGTTGAATGGTTAATTTGAATCAGTAGGCACTATATGGTATATTGGTATATAGCCAAAGCTATTATTATTAGATTTTCTTCACATTGCCCAGCCCTAACACAAACCATTACCGTCCCTTCAGTGTTACAATTAATATTAGACTACAGTGGTCCCTCGCTATAATGCCGTTCACCTTTCGCAGATTTTTTTTGGTGCAATTTTGCATGCTTTTTTTTTTTTTTTTTAAACAGCACATTTTGTTCTGCATCCTGATTGGCTGTAGACCATTGTCAATCAATCTCATGCCATGTCTCCTTGTACAGTACAGAATGTGTGCAGCTTGCCAAATTTACATAAATCTTTGATCGCTAGCAGTGTGACTCTGAAGTGCTGTACTATACGTTTTTTAAGTTTTATCCCCATCAAACACACGAATGTCGACGAAACGTCGTCATCTGCCGGTTCCTTTGGTTTCATTCTATAACACTGAACTTATTTTTCTACGAAGGTTTGAACTTTGAGAGCGAAGTGTGAAAAATTTCATGCCTGTCTGAGAAAAGTGTATAAAGTGTGTAGTGTGGGGTTTTACAGCCTTAAAACATCTATAAAAATTGTGAAAAATAAAGTTGGCTACTTCGCAGATTTCACCTATTGTGGGTTATTTTTAGAACGTAACTCCGGCGGTAAAAGAGGGACTGCTGTTTTAACAAGAACACACATACATACGATTACAGACTGACCTCGAGCAGAATCTCATCTCGCGTTTTGATGGGTGCTGGTTGGCTGAAACCTTCATCAACTTCTTCCACAGCCGCAGGTGCAGAGGGAGAAGAGAAGGATGAAGATGATGAGGAAGAGCTGTCACTGAGGACAGGAAAAGAGCATTAGCGACACCCGTCTTTGTTTTACCACGCTGACAGCTGTGCGTTTTCATACCTGTCCGAGTCCTCAGAATCCTCGCTGCTCTTATGCGTGTCTAAAGACACGGTTGCTGCTATTGAGTGCCTTTGTGCATCTGCCCTTTCTTCTTCTAAAAGTGTTTGTGTGTTTGACACCATCTCAGCATTGTCAGAGGTCACCAGGACATCTTCTAGTTGAGATGTTACTGTAACCTCCATATCCTCGTCTTTTACAGCTTCTGCCGGTCCATTTCCCTCTGTTAGGTTCTCATCCATCTGTAACATTATCTTGAAATGTGTTTCAAAATCTGTTACTTTAAATGTCATTTTATTTATACAGCCCCAAACTACAACAACTGCTGCCTCAAGACACTTGATAAATCACTATCTATTGGGGTGATAAGGTACTATAGGGTCTTTAAAATAAGACAGGGACTGATCATTCAAGACAATGTACGTGAGGAGCAGGATTTTACATTTGACTTTGGATTTAACAGGGATATAATTAGGAGGAGTCAGTACGCTCTCTCTTTCTAATCCCTGCCAGTACGCTGCAGCATTTTGGATCAGCTGAAAATTTTTCAGGAAGTTTTAAATACAACCTGATAATAACGAATTGGGGGTTAGGATAATAACTGGCTACTAAAACTTTACTGATATAGAAATATTTTGTTAATTCCAGGGTTCATACGCCTTTTTCAGGGTCAAATTCAAGCACTTTTTAGTCACCTACAAGGTCCCTTTTCAAGCTAGCTTTTCCAGCACATGCCACCCCCCCCCCAAAAAATAGAATGCATTTGTCAATTCGCATCACCTCAGTAAGACCATGTGAAAATTAAAACAAATCATCCTAGGTGAACTTAAACACATTTGTTCACCTTTTGTTAAGAAATAGAAAAACGCACCACACAAAAATACTGCAAAAGGAAACAGTTGCCTTATATACATAGTGTATAAACTCAAAATGCACATTTCACTTAAAAATTAAGATGTGACAATGTGAACAAATCAACTTGTTAGGGATATTCTTCTCCTGTTGAACCCCCCCAAAAAAAGAAATAAA